TAGTAGTAGTACGTAAGTACGTAAGTAACGTAAGTAACGTAGTAAGTAACGTAGTAAGTAAGTAAGGAGGTAGGAGGTAGGAGAGAGAGAGAGAGAGAGAGAGAGAGAGAGAGAGAGAGAGAGCGAGGGTTACTTTCCCAATAGGGTGCTCTGAGGTTCCTCTTGAGGAGACTGCTTTTCCTTAACCCAAGGAAAGAATTTCTCGGGAACCCAATTTCACTGTAAGACTTGCTTAAAAACAAAGAAATCGAGTTCTCTGCAGATTTTGGTTAACAGGAACTGCTTTCCTGGTTACCAAACATGCCCTGAATGTTTGCCTCTATTTACATGTAATTTTGTTTTCAAGTGGGGATTCAATGTTATCCAACAGCACATATATATTACAGCATCCATTCTCAGCATTAAATATCTTGAATTCTTCACAGGTCCGGCACGGCTTGATATTGGAGAATGGGCTGGTGGACACGAAAAGACTTGCGAAGCACCAGGGCCGTGTTCACAAGCTTGCCATAGAACCAGGAAGTCCCCACATATTTTATAGTTGTGGGGAAGACGGAGTTGTACAGCATGTTAGTCTCAGATTTGCTGGCTCTCAAATTTGCTAATTGCTTTTTTTCAGGTCTCAGTTTCGTTTATTTAGGATTGTTTAGTCTTCTCTAACTAAATTTCCAAAACCAAAATATTGTTTTTTTGCAGTTTGACCTGCGAAGTCACAGCGCTGCCAGGCTTTTCTCTTGTTCTTCTTTGTCAGAAAACAAGCAATATCATAGTAATGTGCGTCTGAATGCAATCGTTATCGACCCGCGAAATCCAAACTATTTTGCAGTGGGAGGATTTGATGAATATGCACGTGTTTATGACATAAGGAGTTCCCCACTTGATTCACCAGTGAACACATTCTCACCCAATCACCTGATTGGTAATGATAGTGTTCACATCACAGGGTTGGCTTATTCTGCCACAAGTGAATTGCTTGTTTCATATAACGATGAGCTTATCTATCTGTTTCAGAAGAACATGGGAATGGGTCCAAACCCAAAGTCACTATCAGCGGAGAAATTACATGAGTTGGATCAACCTCAGGTGTATGTAGGCCATCGCAATGCACGAACTGTTAAAGGTGTAAATTTCTTTGGCCCTAATGATGAGTATGTTGTGAGTGGATCAGATTGTGGTCGAATATTCATTTGGAAGAAGAAAGGTGGTCAACTACTATGGCTAATGGTTGGTGATAAACATGTTGTCAACTGTCTTGAACCCCATCCTTGTGTGACCATTCTAGCTACTAGTGGATTAGAGAAGAATGTGAAGCTTTGGGCTCCTATTGCTGAGGCCCCCATTCCACTCCCTGATAATGCAGAACAGGTAAATCGTAGAGTTCGTGTAAAAAGATCCCATTCAGTTCATAAGCGTAAAAAGATCCCATTCTATTCTTATGCATAGAAGGATCCCACTCCATCCGTATGCCTAAAAAGATTCCCTTCTATTCTTACCCTAGAAAGGTCGTATTCTCTTCTTCCTTTTATGAATGTTAGTGGATTGCGGGGTTTATTGTTCACTGGTTTTGGCAGATAATGGAAGCCAACAGGCAGGGAAGAGAGGATCGTTCAAGGATTACTGTTACTCCTGATGTTATAATGCATGTATTGAGGTTGCAGAGGAGGCAGGCAATGGTCTATATTGAGAGGAATGCAAGAACGGATTTTGATAGTGATGGAGAAGCCGAAGAAGATGCTTATATATTAAGACTTTTTGGTAGTGATGCATCATCAGATGAAGGGGCCTCAGCAAATCCCAAGGAGTGCACTATTAGTTGAGAGAGATTCCTAATGTACATATTCCATGTCTGTTTCTCCTCGTAATTATGTTTTGACCTGTTAATACGCTTAGTTTTTCTTAAACCATAAGAGGTCAGTTTTCTGTGAGCTATTTGTCTACTCGATCCTCAATGACCCACAATGTTCACCAGTAAATAGGATCAACTTCACCACCAATCCCTCGGACTTTCGTGAAGCCATATAAACTGAAATTCATATAAATCTTCTCCTAGGATGATGGTTTCTGAAGGTTATATTATCTGATCCAACTACCATTGGCTGTACTAACTAAAACCCTTCGGAAATGAGCAAGGATAATAAAATGCTTATGTAGGCTGTGGTGGTGATCATAGTCTTGTCTTTATTGGTTGTAGTCGGAGTTGTGATGGATGGAATGAGGTAGAGCATGTAGGTGTTCACAGAATTTCTCAAGCCCAAGTATTTTTAAAAGCCTGAGGTTTGTATAAGGTGTCAACCTCGTACTATTGAAGTAAGCTGTGCACCTCAAAACTATGCTGAAAATGCAGTTTCGGTGCCGCAAGCCTTGTGACGATATGACAATCAATTGTTGCTCCCAATTATAAAATTTAAAGTTCTAGAAATGGTGACAATCAAACAGATTTATAAACACTTGAAAATCGACGGTCTAGATAATATGTTAGAAGATGAACTATTTTTAGGATTAGAAATCCTTTTTTTTTCATATCTTTAAATCTCGAGGTTGAGATAATTGATTTAAGGATTTCCAGAATAGGAACAACCCTCGTTAGTGGGTTTTTTAAATGTACATTACTCCTACATTATAAGGTTGACATCTCATATAATTATTATTTTTAACAAATGAGGTTTAGAAAGTGAATCTTTAATTTTTGGGAAAATTATAAATAACCCACAAGATTAGACTTTCTATGCAAGTTACCTTCATTAACATTTTTTCTCACTTTTTCCCCCAAAATAAACTTTCTAGCAAAAACCATTAAGGTAAAAAATGGTACATATTTTGTTTTTACGAAAATACCTTTTTTCTTACATAAAAAATTAATTTTGGCCAGACATTCGTGTGCGCGTACATGGCCTAACGGTCTGTTTTTTGACATTGTCTGACCCTGTTAAACTAAAAAAAACATTGGACCGTTCTTTGACTTTGTAGGACCGCACCTTGGGCTTGCTGTCAGACTGCATGGGCATGTTGTCGGACTGTATGGGCCTATTGTCGGATTGTTCTTCCGCAGTCTCGGACTGCATGGGCCTATTGCTGAACCGTTCTTTGTCAGTGCTGAACAACCACTTGTACTGTTTGACTGCCATTGTTACTTACTAGATAGGCATTACACTGTCGGACCGCCCTAATAATAGGTCGGAGCGTCTTTTCGTGGGAAAATGCAGTTTCGGTGCCGCAAAGCCGTGTGACGATATGAAAATCAATTGTTGCTCCCAATTATAAAATTTAAAGTTCTAGCAATGGTGACAATCAAACAGATTTATAAACACTTGAAAATCGACGGTCTAGATAATATGTTAGAAGATGAACTATTTTTAGGATTAGAAATCCCTTTTTTTTTCATAGCTATAAATCTCGAGGTTGAGATAATTGATTTAAGGATTTTCCAAAATAGGAACAACCCTCTTTAGTGGGTTTTTTAAATGCACATTACTCCTACATTATAAGGTTGACATCTCATATAATTATTATTTTTAACAAATGAGGTTTAGAAAGTGAATCTTTAATTTTTGGAAAAATTATAAATCATCCAAAAGATTAAACTTTCTATGCAAGTTACCCTCAACTCTAGCTTTTTTTCTCACTTTTTCCCTCAAAATAAACTTTCTAGAAAACACCCCAGGTAAAAAATGGTACATATTTTTTTTTTACGAAAATACCTTTTTTTTTACATAAAAAATTAATTTTGGCCAGACATTCACGTGCGCTTACATGGGCTGACGGGCCGTTTTTTGACATTGTCGGACCCTGTTAAACTAAAAAAAGTACTGGACCGCTCTTTGACGTTGTAGGACCGCACTTTGGGCTTGCTGTCAGATTGCATGGGCATGTTGCCGGACTGTATGGGCCTATTGTCGGATTGCTCTTTGGCAGTGCCGGATGGCATGGGCCTATTGCTGAACCATTCTTTGTCAGTGCTGAACAACCACTTGTACTGTTTGACTGCCACTGTTATTTACCGGATAGGCATTACACTGTTGGACCGCCCTAAAAATAGGTCGGATTGCCTTTTCGTGGGAAAATGCAGTTTCGGTGCCGCAAAGCCTTGTGAGGATATGAAAATCAATTGTTGCTCCCAATTATAAAATTTAAAGTTCTAGAAATGGTGACAATCAAACAGATTTATAAACACTTGAAAATTGACGGTCTAGATAATATGTTAGAAGACGAACTATTTTTAGGATTAGAAATCCTTTTTTTTTTTTCTTATCTATAAATCTCAAGGTCGAGATAATTGATTTAAGGATTTTCCAGAATAGGAACAACTTTCTTTAGTGGGTTTTTTAAATGCACATTACTCCTACATTATAAGGTTGACATCTCATATAATTATTATTTTTAACAAATGAGGTTTAGAAAGTGAATCTTTAATTTTTGGGAAAATTATAAATAACCCCCAAGATTAGACTTTCAAGTTACCCTCAACTCGAACTTTTTTTCTCACTTTTTCCCCCAAAATAAACTTTCTAGAAAAACGCCTCAGGTAAAAAATGGGGCATATTTTTTTTACGAAAATACCTTTTTTTTTACATAAAAAATTAATTTTGGCCATTCACGTGCGCTTACATGGGTTGACGGGCCGTTCTTTGACATTGTCGGACCCTATTAAACTAAAAAAAGTACTGGACCGCTCTTTGACATTATAGGACCGCACTTTGGGCTTGCTGTCAGATTGCAGGGGCATGTGGTCGGACTGTATGGGCCTATTGTTGGATTGCTCTTTGGCAGTGTCGGACTGCATGGGCCTATTGCTAAACCGTTTTTTGTCAGTGCTGAACAACCACTTGTACTGTCAGACTGTCACTGTTATTTACCGGATAGGCATTACACTGTCGGACCACCCTAAAAATAGGTCGGATCGCCTTTTCGTGGGAAAGAGAGAGAGGCGTGGATAAAAGTAAGGGAGTATAGTTTAGATTTTTATTTTTTAGTTGGGGCAGTATTTGCTAAAAAAGTATAATTTGGAACAAAAAGTGAAAAAAAAGTTTGATTGGGGTAACTTGTATAGAAAGTCTAATTTTGAGATTATTTGTAGTTTTTTCTAAAAGTTTTTTGGAAATTGCATCCTTTAAGAAATTCTCTAAAATAAAAAACCTTGTTCTGATTATCCAACAACAACATCAAGAATAAAGATGACTTTGACTTTTGAGTCAAGGTAATCCCCCTAAATAGGCTTTCTGCCTAGGGGAGTAAATAAACGATTTGCTCATGTGGGAGCACCAAACACGTTTTTTGGATGAAAAAATAAGTGTCATAGATGGTTCCGCCGCAGTGCAAATTTATAAAAGCGGAAATAAAATTTAAAGCAAAACGAAGGCATGCAAAACTAGTTTCGAATCATTAACATGAATATCCATCTTCAAAAATAATTGTCCAATTACCCTTCCATTATTGTTTCTATTCAATAAATATAACTATAAAAAAGGCATGCAAAAATAGGGAAAGTTTTTTATACTTCCCCTACTGTATGGAAAATACATATTTCCCCTACTGTATGGAAAATACATACTTCCCTCCTATCCAGCCGTCCAATTTTGATCAAGTTAGGCACTGTTCGTTTGATCTAAATCTGATGTTTTAGAGTATTTTATTTTTATTTTTTTCTACAAATTATAGGAATAATAAATTTGGTACATGCCATCATCTCAATGGGACATACCTAAAAAAATATTAAATTTTTTTCGATAAAATAAAAAAATCAAAATACCCTTAAAACTTTAAGTGATCCAAAATCTTGCACAAAATTATCGACCACTATTATAACATAGGACAAGAAGAGGAATATGGCCCTCTGAACTCACTTCCAAACAATAGAAAGACTAGCACGATTAGGGTTTATAAAAGGACCAGTGGCATCAATGCCATATTTATTAAAAATAACAATTTTCTACCACTCTTGACCCCTTGTAGAAAAATTCAACCACCACTTAGCCAGTAATACCTTATTGAATTGCTCAAGCCTTCTAATCCATAGATCTCCAAATTTCTTAGGTAAACACACTTCTTCCTATTTGACAACAAAATGGTATTTCTTTTGCTCTAAACCTCCACTCCAAAAAAAGTTCCTAATAATATGCTTGAGTTTTCAGATAATAGCCTAAGCACCTTAAGAGCGAGAAGAAGTACACATGAAGGTTGGACAAGGTAGCCTTAATTAAAGTGATCCTACCTCCTAAAGATAAGAATCTACCCTCACATCCATCCAACTTGAAGTGAAATATTTTTACAATAGGGTCCCAAGAAGGTAATGTTAGTCTTTGATCTACTAGTGGCAGCCCAAGGTACTGTGTAATCGTCCTCGCATCACAGTTAATACCAGTCAACTTAGATGTAGAGAAATTTATTTTAGCCCTACAAATCAGCTGATAACATTTAAAAAACAACCATAGAAATTTAACTTGATAGGAAGAGGCCTTTAGAAAAACTAGGATATCATAAATATCCTGATATGACACCACAAGGCCAACATTCGAAGATGGGAGACCTACAAGGAGTCCACCACTAACAACCCCATTAAGCATGAGGACTCCCCATCATTCGTAAAAAAAAGGTGAGAGAGGGTCTCTTTGTCTAAGTCCTTTAAAAGCCTTAAACTAGCCCACTGCTTTACTATTAATAAGGACATAAAGGTCATTGGAGGATGGACAACCTGCATTTCATCTACGCCATCTACTCCCACACCCCATATGGAACATAATATATATATGATAAGCTTTTTTAAAATCTAATTTAAAAATCAAACCCCTATTTTCATTAGCATTGTATACAATGAGACCATTTATATTTGATACTAAGAGGTCAATATTATTTATAACTATCCGATGTGCAATCTGATAGTTTGGGTGTGTCACAAAGTTTTAAAATTTTTTTTTGAAAATTGTGCATGGTTA